AAGGTTACTTCGTTCAGACCTACTCTCTGCAACGCGTGAAAACAAGGTGTGTGGTTGTGTTTATGAATACGTTCATGGGATACTAGCAGAAGCGGTGTGCTGATCCTTCTCCATAGCCTGCTTCTCAGCACGCTACCTAGTGGCAGTCCGCGACCAATGTTCAACCACAAAGAACCATGCAAGGCGGAATTAACAGAACCCGTCAAAATGCTTGTGGGTGAAAACCAGGAAGCAAATTAAAACTAGGACAATCAGCCAGATGCAAAGACCTGACGTTTTGAATCCTTTTGACGTTGAGGCTGACTTCCGTTGAAATTCACGCAACAGGCCGGTTCTTTGGTTGCCACGCTACCGACGTGCCTCTCCCGGCTTCAAGTTCCCCTTTATCCCAAGCTGTGTATCGGATCTTCCGAATCGGCGCAGATCTTGACGGCATTGTACATTCCTCATCATTCCTCCAGCTCTCTCTTGGACAAGCGCTGGTGACCGAGGGATGCGTCCTAACACCTATAACTGATTCTTCTCAGTGGGTTTTTCACTCCAGATCTTTGGCTTCGTAATGTCTGCAGACAATGTGAGGAGAAAAACGCCACACCTGTTGAAGTGAACGGCAAATGGAACACGAAGGACTACAAAGCAATTGCAAACGAGTTTCTATGCCACCAAAGGGAAGTGACAATGACGATTGTAACGCAACTGCTTCTCGCGCGAAGGTTGCCAGTGCCAGTGTCAAAGCATCCACACGAGAACACCCAAATGCAACCATAAATTCAGCAAAGACCCGACATAGCATCGGGTGCAAAAAGAATCAGGAGCAGACAAACGAATCAACAGGACTAGAGACCAGCAGAGCGCCCCCGGCGCGGCACTGGAATCCAACAAATCTGCGAAGTGGACAATTCAATTATATGCCCCAAGATCCCCAAGAGGAGACCTGTAATTACTTAACCACGATCCGGTTTTATGGTTTTGGGATTGGAAGTGCCCCATCTTTGCCTGGGCCCGGGATGAAACCCCCCCTCCCCAAGGACACCAATGACGCAGTACGGAACCTGTGGAGAAGATAGCAGGATTGATTCATGCTTAATTCCCATGGGAAAACAGTGGCGAACCTCCGCACGTGAGACTCAAAGATAGACACCCACAGGCCCTCAATCGGGTGAAGGAGCCTCATTTTTGGCTGGCGTGGGGGTGGCGAATCAACCTGAGTGTATTCAGCTCATTCCCGGGCCTGCAATGGTTGAGCTCGGCTGAGCCAACCAGCCAGGCTTAACGGCCAGAGTCCTGGTGCGAACCATCATGGATGGCTCCACTGCAGTGATGCCTCTTGTCGTTGGCTTTTTTTTCTCTTCCCTCGTTGGGCGACCAGTCAATAGTGACTCAGAATGATATAGTTTCAGCTTGATGTTACTAGTAGCTTCTTTAAGGCCCTAGTAGCGCCCCGTTCGAGTCGCGTCCGATCGCTCCGTTCGTGTCGCTTCTGCCTAGTAGCTCGGTGACGTTCAAGTCGCGTCCTCTCGCTACAGATCACACCGATCACCCGAGGCAGGCCATCCACTTTGATGATTCCAAGCGATTGCGACGGGCTTTGGTGGATGCTCCACGTGTGCTTTGGGCATCCAGCTCATTGAATTGGGCATCGAGCAAAAAAGGAAAACCACTATTGAAACACCTATTTCTCATCGATCTTGGGGGAAAAACTATTCATGAAACCGACCGCTCCTTGCTGAATTTGCAGCAAAATGCCAGCACGGAAGATAGTCGAGATATTATATAGTTGTCCTGTCAGATGTGAGTAGATGCCATTGATATATCTATTTATATGTATATGAGTATTTATTTATTAAGAAAACAAGCAAATTTAAATCACATTATCAATATAGATAATAAATATAGTATATTATATTGTTAATTTGATTTAAAATTGCTTGTTTTTCACCCAATGAAGGAGGCTCGAGCTGCTTGGGTGTAAGAGCTGCTTGGCTTTACCGCCCAGGTGGAGCGGTCAGTATGGCAGCTGGCTGTTCAAGTTGGTAGCCAATCAATTTCGCCTCTCTTTTGGGCGCTGAGGAGGGCCCAACGGTTCCTTGAATGTGTTGTGGACGGCTTGTGGACGACAAAGAAGAAACCAGCTGACCGGCTACTGTAACTGGTTGCGGAGGAGGGGTTTCTGCCATGAAAAAGGATCAGAAGTTCAGAACTGATTCCAACCCAAAAAGGATATTCGAAACTTCAGATCTGAAACCCGGAACTGCCCACGATGCCGCGGCGATCGAAAGGAGCGGTGCTCACGATGCCGCGAAGACCATGATTCAAGATATCCTCACGATTCGGGCTGCAGCTCGGTGTTCGGGCCGAGTGTGCTGAGGCCCCCTTTTGAGGATTTTTGAGGACGGGATAGCATGGGTAGATATGGGTAGCCTTCTTTGGTTTCAAGGGACACTTTCCACACTTTCTGCAAGTCAGAGATCCTCCCTTCGCGGTCAGGCGTGGTAAAGAGACAAAGACACCCGCACACCAGACAATGTCAAGGTGAGTGTGGTTTCTTGCCTATTCCTTTATACTATAATATATTTCATTCTACACCTTCATTTTTGGTGGAGAAATATGTAATCTGGCTCTTTTCACTGTGGGGCCATTGAGATTCGCTTGGGCTGTCATACTCAAACGGCCATACCACCACCGACTCATGATGCATGTTTAGGGGCCTTTGGGAACTCATGGTGTGTCTCTCAAAGCGCTTGCCAAAAGCACCCCGATGACTTTGGAGGTCATTACCATCAAGATCCTGAAACAATATCTTTAAATTATCTTCAATAATTGATCGACACTATTCAGCACACTGTTTGAAGACCTATCGGATACTGTTCGTTCGATTCACTGGCTTTTCTCTTCTTCCTCGTGCTGTCCCTCCAGCGTCGGTCCCCCGAGGACCGCGACAACTACTACTACGGCGCAGACGAGATGTTCAAGCACCTGGGATCGCGGGTCCACGTCGCTAAAAGCGGCGGGACCGGGGAGGTCAAGCACCAGGTGAATCGGTCTCCTGGTGCGAACATACAGGCAGAGTCCCACAGACATATTTCATATGTCTATCCCAAGGTGTGGAATTGCACACTGCACACTAGAGGATGATATGCCTCAGGATGCCCCATGTGAAGTCCTAAATCTTACTCCCAATCTCCCTTCTCGTGCCTTACTTCCGGCAGCTTGCAGCTCTAAAGACGGGAGGTACCAACCCAACATCGCGGACAACATCCTGAGGGAAGCCCCTTTCTTGGCGGAATCCCTGCTGGATGGCCTCATTTGGAGATCGCACAAGAGCCAGGCACCTCACACGCGATCGCGTGGTCGGTTGCAAGGCTTTAGAGGGCTTGAGTATCGGGTCTGCCGGTTGTTGTATTAGGTGGCATTAGGTGGCCCCTGAATTAGGCCACTCCGCTTTCAAGGTATGGGGTGCTAGTCGTGGGCCTGGGTTCGGTAGACACGCCTATATACTTTCACATGCGACCTTAATTGGACCTTAATTACAGCTGCGACTCGTGAAACGCTTCCTTTCGCAGGATCATAGAAAACTATACGAACATGTATGAACCTTCAAAACGCAACAAACAGTAGCCTCTTTCAGAGAAAATATGTCTTTGTTTTCCAAGTGAGGTTGGGTTTATTGTTGTGACATTGCAGGGGCGGGTATTTTTTTGAGTCCGGAAGGCTGTGGAAGTGCACTTGTTCGCCAATTTTTGAGCTCTATAGTTCTGTATTTTTTGGGTGCGAGGTGAGAAAGCAAAACGAAACGGTGTTTGGTGGCGCTTTGGAGCACGGCGTCCTTCCCCAGATTTAGAGCACATGTTGGCGACCCTTGAAACGACATGTTGTTTGATGACGGCGCTTGTTCAATGACAAGAAACATGCATCCGACAACAATTTAGGCGAATTGAAGATCCAGGTGTCTAATATCACCTACAAGTTTGCTGCATCTCTTCCCCAAGCCGTTTCCTGTGTAGCCTATGTCTTCATGTTTGCCGCATGGCCAAGCAGGACAATCTGCGGCCCGTGATCTACTACTTGAAGCACTTGCTGCAAGACATGGATGAGTCAAAGATGCTCTCGCGGGCCTTGATTAGCTACATCCGCTTCAACCACCCTCAGACCATCATGCATCCGATCCTGGTCCTTGACTCGTCGATGGTCCAGCTTGAACTCTTCTTTCGGGTTGCACAGTCTAGCAGCCATTCTAACGTATTCTAACCAGGCTGGTTGTTTGATACTTAGGTTGGAGGCCATCACTATTAGGGGCCATCGCTACTAGCAACAGGAAGCTACTAAGTTACTAGTAGCAAGGCTTTCTTGGCGATTGGAAGCAACTTGGATGCATGCTCGGCCCTCAAATGGCTCCTCGCAGCTCAGTTTCTCCAAGGATTTTGGCCTTCTCCTTGGACTTGCTGTGGGAGAAACTCGTGCCTCACCCGGAAAGGGAGACGATTGACATGGGTGGGACCCCCAGGGTACCTCTTAATAGTGAAAGAGTTAGTTCATAGCGAAATGATGCGAAATGCATGTTAATTGCGAAAATGAATCTTTTAATAGCGAAAGAATTGGTTCATAGTGAAATCCAGTTTTTAATTGCGAAAATGAATCTTGTAATAGCGAAATGACGCCCGTAGTGGCAAAGGCATCCCTCAAAGTGATTTCGGGATGCCTACAAACAAACTTGGAGGGTTTTTGCAGCTTCACAACCCTTAAGACACCCGTAGTTGCAAAAGCCCACTCAACGTGTGGGGTAGCCGAAAGACCAATTGGAGGGCAGCCGAAAGCAAACTATTGCGGCTTCCTTGGTTGCAAATACTAGGCCGTTTTCCGGCATGTTGTTTTACGTTGAAAGGCGCAATCAAGATCCTCCATAAACAAGTTTCGCAACTGAACAACCTGTAATTTTGCAATTAAGGATTTGCCTTTGCCATTCAAGGGCGCCCTTGGTTGGCACCCATAAAGGTCATAGTTTTTGCACAGACAGGAATGGAACATAGAAACTTCAGTAGGAACTCACTGTACTTCACGAGTTGTCGGAAGAGTCATTTTGGGAGGGGTACTTAGTACTTTGTTATTGTTACTAGGAGTAAGGCACTTGTTCCTAGTAGCGAACATTGTTACTATATATATACTAGTAAGGCACTTGTTACTACTAGCGTGGCACTTGTTCCTACTTGGTTGTACGTGGCCGTGAATCACCCTTTCTGTCGACTTATTGAGTTGGGTCAATGCGTCGACAGATATATGGGAGAGAATGTTACTAGTAGCGATGCACCTGTTACTACTAGCTTCTTGTTACTACTAGTAAGGCACTTGTTACTAGTAGCGATGCACTTGTTACTACTATATATGTATTGTATAACATCAGAGTCCACTCTCCTCCTTCCGCCATGAAATGCGGCACGTTCATGGCATTTCAGCTGAAAGCTCCAAAAACTGCACGCTCAGCGGTTGGTTCGGTGTAAAGGAGGATCCGTTTGCTCACCGAGAATGCCCGAGGCCCTGCGGTACTTCCTCATGGATCGGATTTTGACGATCGTCAACTGCATCATCTTCGTCATCGCGGAATGCCCCGAGACGGCCATCAGTAGATCCATCCGAGACGGCTTTGATTTGTCGTATACACAGTCAGCGCAGTAAAAATCTTACGTATCACATATCTCAGCAAGAAACACGATGAAGCAAAAACAATAAAGAATATAAGAAAATTCATCCTCAACAAGCATTAGATTTCATGGTGCCCATAGCCCCTGAGCTCGAGGTTACATGAATCAGCCCGCCTTCCTGGATGATCCTTCGTTGCTGGAACCTGACAAGGGGCGCAGTCGCCGACCGGGGGGGGGTGTACACATGCTCAGCAGACCCGGAACTGCACAGAATTGATCGATGTGTTTTGTTGAAATGCACACACGGGGAGCACTTTTGCAGGCCTTCAGGTTCGCTTAATTATATATATATGGGTTGAACAATTTGCTGGGTGTATGTTGCCATGTTTTTTTGTTTTGTTTTATTTTGGACGTGGATGTGTGATGATGTGTGTTGTTTTTGCATAGTTGTTTTTTTCCCCATTCATTGGTCTTTGAAGGCCATGTCTTCTGTTCCAGTCACGCTTGTTCCATTGATTCACACAAGAACACACTTCCTGCCAACAGCAAAACTGTTTGCTAGCACAACGCACCACAGAATCATACGTACCAGACCACTCTTTGCCTTTGTCGTGATTGCTACCCAGATGACGCTGCTATTGTGGGTGTCCCGGTCACGTTTTGATGGTGCCCCGCTCTTGTGCCTCAAGCCCTTTGACGAGCCTGATGGTGTTTTGATGCGTCCTTGACATGGTTCAGGGAGAGGCCCTTTTCTCCATGCCTCGCGCGATGTTCAACTGCACTAAAACGCGGTGTTCAACGAACTAGAGCTGCACGTGGTGCTTTGCGCGCAGAACTTGGTTGGTGCGTGGCCCAAAAAGGCTGACAAGTTTGGTTGATTTCGCAGCGTTCGTTCATGCGTCCACCTCCGGGTTGCAAGCAGTGCGCGTTCGTCCACGACCAGTTAACCGAGCCAACAGTTGTGAAACGAGGTGGGATGACCTATATATTGATAGCAATGGCCTCCAACCTACCAGTAGTAGCAAGGATGCTCAACCTGGTGTCCCGAAGTTTCCACTCAATTCGAGACGGTTGATGAGGTGCCTGCGTGCGAACCCTTCAAAAAACATTGCAGTGGGCTTATGTGGGCTTTGTGATTTTGAGACGGATGTGGAAGTTTGCCTATACAAAGGAGTCCTGCTTGTGGCTGCAGATTCGGAGAGAGGGCCAGCAATTCTTCCACTAGCTACGGTCATGGACAGGAGCCGTTTCAAGTGTCAGAAACAACCTGAAACCATGGTCAATGATGTTGGACGTTTTTTGAGTTTTCACAGCGCTCCACTCTGTCCATCACATGCCCAGTGGAGCGCAAATTTGGAATGAGACTGCTGCACAGTGCGTCACATTTATATACATAGCGGTGTACTCAAACATCATCTTGCATTCCTTTGATGTTCTCGCTCTTTTGCACCCTCAAACTCCGCCCAGGGGAGGTGGGAACCGGACCCTGCGACCGCCCTCGGATTGTCTCGGAAGGACGGTCGCAGGCGGTGACTCCGGACTCCACTTCATTCGCCAACTGCTTCTGTCAGAGCTATTTCTAATACGGGAAGAGAGGGGAGGGGAGAGTAGACGACAGTATAGGTGTATGAATGGGACTGGGTGGTGTGTGCGTGCGCGTGTGTGAACATGTCATTTTCGGAACAGGTGCTGCAAATGCTTTGGGTTGGGCATCCTCAGAGGTGGGTTCTGGAACCCCTTGGAACCCCTGACCATCAGGACAAAGAAAACACTGATTATGTAGCAGACATTTGCAGACATTGAGGTCTCGGAGTATGGTTGTGGTGGGCCGAATCTTGGTCTACACCTTGGGTTTCCTTCGGTTGCTCTACTGGCACATCTGCCAAATCTTCCTCGCCTACAGATTTGGCGCGCCTGGCCGGGCAAGGGCACCAGAAGTACATGTTCCATGTGTTGATGACTCGTAGAGGCTTAAAATCACAACATGGGAAGCTGTGGGCAGTGAATAACCGACAATTTGGATGAACCCGGCAAAAAAGTTGAGAAGTACTGCCAGATACTGCCAGAATTTTGAAGAATTCAATTGTAGTTTTGGTCGCCTGGGGCACGCCATGCCCGAGAATAAGTGAAGTGGCGCGAAGCATTTCATCAAGGCTTCTATGGGGCACCAAGGTTCGTCCTGCTTTGGCAAAACATGGCAAAACCACGTGCAATGACCAAGGCAAAAATAGTATTTGATCAATCCTGATTGCTTTGGTTACATCAGTTGTTTGATATTTGCAATGGTTTCTTGAGCGCAAGCTTGGTTGCATCGAGTCACAAATGCAGCGCCCAGATTAGACACCTTCAAATCCTTCAAACCAGTGCAATGCAAATGTTAAGTAAGTAGGGGTGAAGAATTTCCGAATGTTCGGCAAAGTGCCTGAAGTCGCAACCCACCAAGAAAGCATAATCCCTCACATCCCTCATCAGTTGAACTCTTTGCAGATTTCTAAGGCCGTGGTGAAGATTCAACGTTTGAACTTCCCTGCCTACCTCATGCGGGGCTCGGACATTTTGAGTTTCCTCTTGATGATGGACCTGCTTGCCATGAACACGGCTGGGAGGGACAGGAAAAGACGGACGTTTCGAGCTTCTCGAGCGCGATGAAGAACACTAGCAGTTGCATGTCCTATATATAGAGTTTGGGCTGCACTGTTGGGAAAATCATGGTTGCACTTTCTTGCATGGCATGTGTGGAGCGGTGTTCATGCGAGGGACCCCCGAGCTGAGTTTCAAAAGATGCCATAAGATGCTCACAGATTGACAGCGGCAGATGCATCAGATGAATTCAGATAGTACATGCATGGTTTCTGTGCGCAGCTTGTCATCCGGACCGCCACGGGAGGTGGAGCCAATTATGCACTGTATCGCCGCTCAGGAGGTGCTCAGCTCCGTTCGTTTGGGTGTTTTGAATGAGCCTTGCTTCGTTGTTTCATCTCTTTTTGCCACAATCTCAATTCACGATTCTCAGGAACATGATGAACAGGTGTTTTGCCGCGCGGTTGCTGTCGGGGATGTAGATCCGCCAGGGCCACATTCTGCGTTGCCCCGCCTGGACCGACGAAATGAGCGACTTGGAACGCGGAAGGCTATGCGGGAAGGTACGGGACTGGACTAGACCATATAAATGAATGTAGAACGAGCGCCCCTTTTCGATTGTCAAACCTCATCAGATTGGGGGTCGGTCAATCCACAGCTGTGGAGGTCCTCACCTTTTCCGAACGGCAGAGTCCTGGGCCAAAGCAGCACAGCAGGTTCAGAGTAAACTTGGCATGCCAAAGGCCACATAAGGCCATTGGGAGGTCAAGACTAGCCTTAGCCAGCTTGAGACTACGGGATTCAAGTCAGACCTAACTTCACAAAGAACGAGCCTGGAAGCCACTGATTGTGAGGTCTCTTGTATGAGATTTTTGTGATCATTGCCGTCTTCCTGCCGCTTGGTAAGCGCAGGTGCTCTGGGAGCAGGTGGAGTAGATGGCCCTGCCTGGCCGTGCCTTTAAACAATGACCTCCCTTTCAAGTCCGTCGAGTCTCGCAGCAGGACTCTGAAGACCATTGAAGATGTAGTTGTGTCTGACCATAGGCAGAAACGCGAGATTGCCACAGATGAAGGACATTGGCAGGTGTCTTCAGTGGCGTGGTGAAAAGGCCTCCACTTTTGGCCAACCTCGGCTGCCACCCATCGTAGGCCGGCGAAAAGCCCCGGAAATGCTCATCTCACAAAGCCGCCGAAGGCCTATAGAGGCGCTTCAACGCAACGTCAGCCAAAGACCAATACTTCCTATGCTAGTTGGCTATAAACCCAGTCGCCCCCAAATCAGCAAATTGACAAATCTGCCATGGTGAAGAACATCACACCAGTCCAGGTTCCAGCGTGGAGTTGTCGATCCTCTCTGAGGTATGTGATCTTGATCGTTGAGGTCGGAAGCGTCTCAATCAAACTCTCAGAGTATCGAGTCCTTTGCTTACATGCCATCGAGCAGGCACGTGGGGAGAGGGAGCTGGACATATAGCTGGACAGTATTGGATAAGATGGATTAGAACGCAACAAGAGAATGCCCCCAGATGTTCCGTTCCCTAAACAGGCGGAGAACAGAACGATAACATGTAGCTGGATGTTTCCTTGCATTTGGCAACAGTCCATCGAAAAAGGGGACCATTTCTTGTCGTGGTTTATGTTGATGTTTGCCCCGCCTGGGACTGATGAGGCATTTAGCGTCACCAATTCTTTTGCCCGGAGAGTCCCTCACGTATCTTAGAGAGAAAGAGAGGTGTCAGAAACAGGCACCGATTTGCGCCAATCTCCTGCTGGCCTATTGGCTGTTATGCAGCTTTTTTGATGGGAATTTCTCGGAACAGGCTTCCAGAAGAGGTGTTACTACCCAAATCATTTGTAATTGTGCCTGTGTGCTTGTGGAGTTTGACTGTACCCCCTGAAAAAGGACCAATCTCAGCTAAAAAACGCACATATAGCAAAATGATCTGTACACAAATCATGACATCTCATAAAAGACTGCCCTCATGGGGGGTCAACCCCATGTCACCACCAGGTACTCCTGTGTTTCGGCGTGGTCCTTCTCACCATTCTGACCTTTGCCTTTGCTATCTCCGGGATGACCCGCGAGGCTGGGGGGAATGGATTAGACTTGGAGGCTGCCGTGCGTCGGGGCGGAAGAACCTCGCCTGGCCCTGTGTCTGGAGGGCTGCCGTCCCTGGTGCTGGGTGGGGGGACAAATCGCCGCCTGAGGTCGTTTCAGCCTGAGGTCGTGGGTCGCTGGCCGGGGGCCAGAATTGGCGGAGATGGCCATCGGGATCCACACCATCAAGACCTAGAGGTCGTACAATTCTGCGTGAGAAATTCAGACATTGTCAGATCATTGTCATACGATATCAACATCCGCCAAGAGAAAGCGCATGTTCGGAAATTCAGCGATTGCCGTTGGTCAACATTGAACTATAAACATCATGAAAAAAACTTTGGGTGTCCACCAAATATCCGAGGTTTGCTTCCAAATCTTTGTTCAGTTTGTAGGTATGGTAGGTATTGGATCATAGGAGTCATAGGAGATCATAGGTGCTTGGCACCTGTGTCAGCATTTTCTACTGCTCATGCTCGCTCGTCCCAGAATGGAGCATGAGAATTCGCCCAGCAATTCTAGGTTGTCAGTAGCTCCTTGAAAGCGCAGCAGGAATGAAGAAGCAGCATTGCTGCGCATTTCTGCAGACTAGCACTAGCTGGTAATGGTAGCAGATCTAGCTTGGGGACTATCTTAGGTGGCCCAGAGCTGTTTCTTGGGCTCATGTCGCACATTCTCCCGTCACCAATTCCAGTGCGCACTGAGTTATTGATGCCAACAGGTGACGAAGGGAGAATGAAGATGCAAACCTCGCACACTTCCTGCAGGGACTTGACCCCCTTTTTCAGTGAACTGTGCCACCCGTATACAGTGACCCCAGTGCCCTTCTCATCCCCGGTCCTTTGCCCAGATGATGCACCTGACCAGCTTGACGGCCTCTCGGTTGCGCAAAAGTCCAAGGCGTTGCGCCGCGGGAGGTGCGGAGGCACATGACATGGGGAAATGCCAAGAACAGCAAGGAGAGCAAGGCACTCGAGCGGTGAAAAGCTTAGTGAGCTTCACCACCCTGTGAACTTCAGTGGTGAGCTTGGAAGTTATGACATTGTGTTCTGACGATGTTTGGCGGTCTGACGATTTTGGACGGTCTGTGAGATTGGGAATTGAGACGTCGACTTTTGACTCCTGGCTTGTTAGCGCACCAGGTATCCCAGAAGCAGAAGAGCAGATAGCAGATAGCTTTCGTTGACATGATTGTAAAGGTTTAAACGATCATGGCAGGGTGCAGGACTATACACGCAGCAGATCCAACACTACAAGACTCAACGGTTTTTCAATGTTTTTCACTGAAACCGTCGCATCATTATAGGGGATCGAGAATACTTCTTTCAGGTTTCTCAGTCTCAGTTGGTAACCTCTGGTAACTCATTATGTGGTGCATGTTAATTTAGTAGATGGACAATTGAACCTTCGAAGGGGGCCTGCAAGGTACTCCAGGATTGCTACACTGGCATGTTGAATTCAGATTCTGGTTCCATCACTACTAGGAGGCAACGACGCTACTAGGGGCTCCTGGCATCGCTACTAGGAGCAAGGACGCTACTAGTTCCTTCTTTACACACTGGTTCCGCAAGCTTTCCCGTGCTGGTCCCCAGCAACATCAAGGAATGGGCGGATGTCGGAACCATCATCAGCACATTGATTCGCCTGTCCTTCGGAGCAATGGACATCGAACCTTGGTGTCGGGCCTGTTGCGTGGGCCAGGTAGGGCGGACTATGTGGTGGAAGAATGCGAACAATAGGGCGTGTTGCATGGACCATATTGAAACATGTTGAGACTCTTTTGGCCTATCCTTCTTTGAAAGAAGTATTGGTTCTTCATACTTTGGCGTCCCAGCTGCACCTCGTGCACTTGGAAACGTTAAGGGTCCAGTAGCAGCTGCTATCGCTTTCGGACTTGGCTACTGAACAAACACACCGTCCCAGCATGTCCCTGCGTTCCTTTGGATTATAAGTCGTTGGCACTTTGCGACTGGCGGGCTCTTTTGTGAACAGTTTTTTTCAGACATTCGATTCTTTTGAGGACTTCTTGAGGAATTCAGGGACAAAACCGATGGTTAGAGACATCGAACGTCATGTTTCAAAGAACCTCGCCCCAAGGGATCGATTCAGCACGTGGCAGAAGACAGTCCCCTGCTGATCGTGGCATCTGGGCAGCTTGTGGCACACCCGCCGATGAGGAAAGAAACAACTCACTCGAATCAGTGTCTTTTTTCCTTCACCAGTGCCAGATTTTGAGAAGCTAAGGCTAGCGGCTAGAGAAGCCCAAGTATAGAGCCAATTTGCGGCGCATGTGTTGAAAATCTGACGAACAAGTGACGTAGTCGGATACTTATTATAGACCTAATGTTTTTAGGGTGAGCAGTTTCAGGAGTTGCATTCCATAATGGTGTACACCTCGCCGATGCCAGTTTGGTTCGCTCACATGTTTACGGTTCCACCCTGGTTCGCAAAGATCCCAAATTATTCTTGGGAAATGTGGTCCGTATGTGAACGAAAGGAGTTCAATGGCAGAAAGTAGATCCAAGCTGACCCAAGAGGTTTTAGAACTGGTCCAACTTTGTTCAAGAGTTGGGATTCTGTTCTTCGTCATAATATGTGGAAAAAACTATCCGAAAAAGCCTTTTGTCAAGCCCCTATATCAGGACCGAGCAAAGGGATACGGTCGCAACGATGGCCGCGACCGTTGGGGCTTTGCCTACCATCGATCCTGGCAACCGAGGTCATCATCCTTTTCATGATGATGGTCTACACCTTCTTTTTCAATCTCCTGGTCTCGCTCTTCGGCTTTTCGAAGCTGCTCTTAGATCACGTTGTCCCACAAATTGAGCAGGATGTGCCTTTTCCTTTCGTGGCTGAACCCGGAAGAAGGATCGCGAAGACCTGCCGGGGGCAGGCGGGTCTCCCCGTCTTCCGAACCGGTTTTTCAAACCGGACGGAGGATCGTCGAACTCACCGAACTCGTCGAACTTCCGCCCGACCGCGGGTGTTCCGATGACGACTCCGCTCCACGGGTGTGCCATGGGTGCTGTCCCAAGGCAGTTCTGTGGAGTCTACACCTCGCTGGCTGCCGACATCAAAGGACATGCGAGGTGGGGTTGAACGGGATAGGGATAGGGATGTCGCAGTCAGGCAACAATTGGGTAATTAAACATATCAACGAGGCACACTGGCCATTGCAATCCGTCATCAGTCCTCACTATTTACATCATATATCATATATCATATATCGATTTTGAACAGGATCCAGCAGAGTTTGGTGCGTTGCATGCTTCCGTGCCAGGCTGGCAAGGGGTGAGATCATCATTGAAACATTTAAGGCCAGTGACTCAATGGGCACTTTGGGGTGTGGCGGTTAGATTGAAGGCCAAAGACCAGGTGTACAAGAGTTATTTAGGCTATGAGGAATGTTTGTCAATTGGAATGTGTACGGATGGCTGGAGCCGAAGAATAAGGAAGAAGCATGTTACATGCATGTTAAATGTTTGAAAAGTTGCCAACAGCTCAAGATGGCAACATTAATAATTACACAAGTCCATTTTGCTGTGGCAGGATTTGCCTTGACAATGACTCAAATAGGGTGAGAGGCAAAGCTTGACTTGTTTCTAGCTTTGCCGAAGCAGTGTGTGGATTTGTCACGGGTGCCACAAAATTTATTCTGAAGCGCTCCGCTCTTCACCCAACCTGACGCCACAATTTTCAAACAGAATCTCGAGCGTTCTTCTGACCCAGACGCCACCAAACACCGCTGGGGCCCTAGACCGCAAAAGTCTGCCATGTGTTTGCTTTCTACTCTTTTGCTGCTAGGCGGTCAAGCTCACACGCTGGCAGAAATTCATGAACGCCCTCCATTTGGATCAGAAGGTGGACTTTGAACAGGGCGACATCGGCCTGGCTGGAGGCGGATTGCTGAATTGCTTGGCACCTGTTTGTACAACCGACCTGCCCACAAGTTCCTTGTCCTTGATGAATGACGATAGGAATGAAGATAGGAATTCGTGGCTGCGGAGCAGTGTGGGAATACCAGCAAAACCAAAAAGGGCAGAACAAATTCTCTTTCAAGGACTTGAGGGCATTGCAAAGTCTACCACCTTGCTTGGCTGCGTGAGGCATCAAGACCTTTGAGCCAGCTTTGGCACACCCCGTTGCAAAGGAGCAGAGATGCCTTCTTGTCACGACGCAGTCGCAAGCGCTGTTGGATGAACCATGGTATAGTGTTATATACCGTTTATCTAAGTTGTTATTGTCTCATTTAGTTTCAGATTGTCAATTCATTTGCCAACGTCCCTTGCCACTTCCTTAGTACTCACTCTCATCAAATGTGACTGCTTCCCGCCCAAGCCAAGACTTTCTGCGACGTCGACCCCTGTGAAACGATTGCTTCAGACGCCTTAGCTGCACAGCCAGGACCAGATCATCCGCTTTGGTGGACGAACGGAATCGCATTTACCCTGGCCAGAGAAGATTGAGGGCACCGTTGACACGATTGAGAGGACATCGGAAGATTTGAGACCAGAACTGAGCGAAACTTCTGTCCATTGACGCCATTGACCAAACTTAGCCAGAAACGCCTTTGCGTTCGCTATTAGGCCCTTAGGCCAGTAGTCCTTAGCCTCGAGCAACTGCCGTGATCGTTCATTCACATCTTTACGGTTCTGCCCAAGCTGGTTCACGAGGGCGGCCAAAAAGGGTTTGGGAGGAGCTCAGAAAAATGAACTGCATGACAAGAACCATGCTGTAGTCGGCTGATTTGGACCCTACCCAAATCCAAGGTGGGAACTTCTAGCTAATGAATTGTTCAAATGCCGCCTGCGTCAGGACCATTCAGAAAACGCGGCCCGGCAAGGTTGAAGTCCAAACCGGACAACTAGGGCCAACATGGCCGTGTGAAACACCCGCTTTCATGCACCACAGGAGTTACAGAGATCAAAGGGTTTGGTAAAATTAAATGCTTTTAACCAAATGGGTTGGTGAATCTTGAGGAAAGAAGACTTCTTTGGGGGGATGAGTTGGCAGTGTGACAGCCAGTTCTTTTTTGTCATTTTGTGAGACGGCACAGCGGTACTCTCAAGGCTTTTTTCTCCCAGAAACTAACGCCCTTAGAAGCAGATGCCTAGAACACTGGCGTGGATTAGAGCAACATGAAAACACCCTGATTGATCCGTCATTGCTGCGAGCAAATATGTATGCACTAGTGTGCACGATGGAGAAGTCAATACCAATCTTCAAGAGGTGGTTTGAAGGAACTGTCATCGCTTGTCATAGCATGTCATAGCTTTGGGAGCATGGTGTTTTGTGTGGCGTGCGCTGGTCGGTGGTCCTTTGGACGTGCTTGGTATGTGCCTTTGCCCATCAACCCCCTCAGTTCTCAGCTCGAAGACATTCTGCTCCGCAAAAAGTGCCAAGGTTTTGCATGTTTTGGCATGTCTAAATCGTCCTAGCATTAGTCCTTCAAAGAGAAAGTGCACCAAATGTTTGTCGGTCGTGTTTCTCATGTTTAACACCTATTACTCCAAGTTTTGAAACACCTGGCAGCATGTGGGGGGGACGTCTCCCACGGGAGCCTTGCGACCTCTTGGGGCCTAAGGATTCAGAAGACGCTGCACAAGTATTTGGGCAGTGGCAAGAAGGGCGGCAACGGTGGCATGAGCACCTTCAGCACCAACACCGGGGCCAGTGAGACGGATGCGCCACTTGGATCAGGTACATCTAGTGAGTGTTTCCAGGGCCTGTTGGTCGTTGGACCGCCTGTGTGTTAACTTGCTTGCTTCAGCGGTTCTAACTTCTAACTGCCTTTGATCATGTGTTTTTGTTCGCAGCTTCAGATGCTGCATGGCCTCAGGAGCAGCCATCAAGGTGGTGAAAAGGCGAGCGTCCACAGCAGTGATCATGATCATCACAGCGAGTGAAACGACGTGCCACGAGCGGACCGCGCGAGCAGACCGACGGCGTCGAAGCGACCGGGCCGAGACGACTGACCGCCGGAACGATGTGCTTCTTTTGTTTTTTTTGTGCGGAGCAGCTGAGCATCCGCATAAATACATTTGAATTTAAAGGTTTGGTCTTTTTTTCAAAGGCGTTGAGAAAAACGTCCGCCTGAACCAGAAAAGCACTGGTTCAGATGGAGCTAGGGCTAGGGATGGTTTCAGCCAAATTGATCAATTGATCATGCATCATGATCACGCAATGCCAACGGATGTTCATGGCCAAACAGTAGTCCCCTTTGCTGCCCAAAGTGGATTGGGTGTAATGCTTCCCCATGCAAGTCAAGGCGCATGAACAAGAAGCTACGAACGGGGCTCCTGGCATCGCTACGAACGGAGCGATCGGACGGTACGAACGGGGCTCCTGGCCCTACTACTAGGAGCAAGAAGCTACTAGGATCAGTGAAGCGATGAAACAGTGACTCCTTCACACCAGACCAGGGCACCTGGAACCTTGTAGCGTACCTGGACCTTGTAGTGGTTTTGATGTTTAAGCCACCTGGTCACCCGGGGGTTGGGGAATTCTAGATTACAGGCAATGGCTCTTGACACAGTAACCCTTGGTTCGGCCACCAGGTGGTGTTTGAGTTTCTTCCAAAAACAATACTTATTGTTTCTACTAGCTTCTTGTTACTACTAGTAAGGCACTTGTTACTAGAAGCGATGCACTTGTTCCTAGTAGCTTATTGTTTCTACTAGCTTCTTGTTCCTAGTAGTAAGGCCCTTTGCTAACCCTGAATTCACTGTGCCCAGCAGGGCTGAAGCTTGAAAGGTCGTTGTGGCCAAGTGCCAAAGATGGCATCATCCCAATGTTCGGGGGGTCAACAAATCCATGTTCTTTGGATTGCACAACTTGGCTTTACATCTAGCAAGCCTTCGATTGAACATATTTGGATCCTGGAGCTCCATCTGACTAAGATCTGGTGCACTTTCCCAGACTTGGGATGTTTGAAGCGTGACTCGCGGGTTTGAATACGTACATCCAGACTCCAGAGTGGGCTCTCGTCCCCCTAAGGGGGTCAGGCACAAGCTCTTGGCACTTGTCACTTGTGCTCCTCCTGTGGAGTCCTGTGGCCGAATCGAACTGTTCGATTCGGAGCGCAAGCCACTAGACGCGGTAGCCACCGCCCTTTTTGATAGAGACATTGCATCTCAATAGAAAAGCTCATCGCCTCTGAACATGTGTTAATTACTGTATAATAACACATTACACTGTCCATACTGTTCTGGGGTGACCTTTCATCAGAGGCAAACGGAAAGGTAGTGCACAGAAAGAGTTTTGCAAAAACCTATTCTACTAACATCGTGGAAGGCGCGGGACATTTGTGGAACCCGGGGCTATTCGTGGACGTTTCGTGGAATGGTGGGCCAGTAGGAAAACTGACTGCAACAAAATCCCAGAAACCTTAGTAGAACTTCGTAGAAGATATTTTTGATGCACTAACTTCGTATAAGCGATTCTGGCTGACCCCCTTTCTCCACACACCCTCCGTTGAGCCTGCATTTCACTTGTGCACCTGGAAGGGTCACTGGAAGGGAGTCAAACAGTTTTTCTTGCTGGACATCACGCGCCTATAGTGGCTTGCCAAATTCATCTCCAGTCAATCCCAGATCCACCTCAACTGGGTCAGTGCCCTTGTACTAGTAGCTTCAGTGCAAGAGGGTATGGGTCAAGAACCCGTGGCCCTGCAAATCTATTTCTGGATTGAGATGGATAGAGCCCTTTTGCCCTTTTGATCCAGTTGAATTCGGTCATTGATTGCTGAGATCCACCTATCCGTGTGCCTCAGTGCCTCAAACTTCTCAGAGCCTCGTGCGCAGCCTGGGCTGCACTTTCAATGGCACGACGGTCGGGATAACTCGGTGTCCAGCAAGGAACCCTTTCACTGCAGGAGATGGTTTGATGTTTGTTTCTGCTATGAGTGACGTGGATCAAACATGATAGATGGACAGCGCATTGGAGGACAAACGGCGCCGCCTTGGTTGAGTGCGTTTTCAAATGGCGGACGGGGGTCCCCAAGAACAGATGGAATGGCGGACGGCTGGACGGCTGTGTCACGGAGAGGGATCCCAATATAATAGAGACATTCCTGGTCCTGTAGGGTGCACATGTGCCGACCTAAAGACAAAGAAAGGCGTATCAACCAGGTAAGGCTTAGGAATCCCAGAAACACAAGCCAGAAAGTCCGTGCTTGCATACGGAGTTTTGTTTGCATACGGAGTTCGTAAACCCGACAACTGTGATGATGTTCCCCACAAGCTACAAGCGCAGGCTTGTGCCCAACCATATGTTCCTTGATGCTGGGCATCAGAGTTCAGAGGCAAATATATTTTCCATTCCGTGTTTAAGTGCACTCAGCCGCTGCATGCACAGCTTGGCCTCCTGGTATGGAACTGTTCGCGAGGATCAGATTGTCAGAGAGTGCTCTTTGTATCTCTTTATGCTCTTTGGCACTAAGAGTGCCTCACAAGAAGCAGTGTGTGTTGTCAATGCGTTTGACCACTCCGGGTACCAAAACTTCGTACAGCATTCCCCAGGCCCTTTCCTTTGCGTCCTACAGTTCCTTACTCCCCCCGACGAGACGTGCGGCCCGCATTTCTGAAGATCTCCGGCCCTCTGTGCCGGCAGATCGGGTCTGCAATCTTGGGGGGCTAGGTGGCCGGGCAATGTGCGTGGACCATGCATCGGCCTGCGTGGCAAAACCCCTAAGCAGCAAGGAGACATCATCCAGTACACCATCCACAACCCACGGAAGGTTTCAGCTTGGAAGACGTGTCTCCTCAATCTTCCACTTCACGAGCTATTTTTAAGTGGCCTTTTTCAAAGCTTGGGGGCCAGCCTGCCTTTCAAGAGATGTCACAGATGTCATCGTGTTTCCGAGCGCTTGCACCCCAGCCAACCGGATGCAGACGTTTGCAATTTGGGTTGGCAAGGGCAGGCGCTCAACTGCAGAACATCTTTTGCAGCGACGAAGGGTTGAAAAAGGAATAGAGTGTAGCAGGCCATCGCAGCTACCCGGAGCAAAGGGCATCGCTACGAACGGAGCGATCGGACGGTACGAACGGGGCTCTTGGCCTAACAAGAAGCTACCAGGAAAAGAAACGCACACGGAAGGCCACGGGTCCCGGACATTTAGAGTAGCTTCTTGATTGAATTCAAATTATGTTCTTAATTTAGATGAGTTTCTAATAGCAAACCTTGTTTCTAAGTAGTAAGGCCAGGAGCCCCGTTCGTAGTGCCCTTGAATATATTATCGGCAACAAATATGTCCAGATCCCTTTCCTTGTTGAGGTTGGCTTTGGATGTGGCGTGACGCGCAGGATGGCCTGGACCGAGAAAGCATGCAGGTTTGCACCAGGCGTTAAGAACATATTCGATGTGTTTTGCTTGCAGATATGTTTCAGATTGGGGAACATGTTTCACACTCATGTTTGAAATGTGTCAGTTTGGTCAGTTTCGTTTCTAGCATGGATTGCCGGTGCGCGTGCCTTCCCTCAATCCCCAATGGAGGAAGGATAGCCAAGAGTTGGGGAGTGTTGTTCCAATGCTTGAAGACTTCAGCGTGTGGCTCAGACTCATACTTATGCATCAGGGCAACATTGACAAAACATTATAATCATCACCGGCACAGAGACTCACTTCACTTATCAACACACACACACACCCATGTTTCATCCTTCCATGGGTCTTGGATGATTTTGGTCAACTTATTAGGGCTCGATCCAAAGCCATGGCTTTTCTATGCCCCAGCGACGGTGACGGCTGCAGCTATGACGAGTGCCGCTGTGCTAATGCCTCTCACGTGCGCGAGCTGGTGCTCCTTGGCTGCAGCACTTCCGGTCGCTTGGGAGAAAGACACCGAACCCGAACCGAGGAATGTGAGTTTGGATGGACAGCCTTGTTATGCCTGTGAACCTCCGAGATTGCCTGCTTGCACCGAGGCCCAGATGCGTTCGATCGCAGAATTCTCGGAGAATCGTGCGCGATGACATGTGCACCAAAATACAGTTTGCCATGCTCCCGTGCAGATTAGTGTGGAACCTTAAAATCGACTGGGTTGTGGAGGAAAATGGTTTTCACGGCTCAATTGTCAGGGTCCATGTTAGCGGGTATAGAGATAGAGATCTAGGTCTGGCACTCCCAGCACCAGCTCCTATGGCTTTAACGCCAGCCTGTCAGGCCACGGACCAATGCACTCCAGAAGCCTGCGCATGCGCCAATTCTCGTACCCATGTCAAGTACAATGCGAGTACCGTGGACGGAGCCTCAAGCTGCAATGTCAGTTTGAACCGAAAGACAAGCTGCAAGCAGTGCTTGCGTATGCAAGCTGTCTGCTACTTTCCGGATTCATCCATCAATAAGGAAAACACATCGAGAGAGAGAGAGAGAAATCTCTGAAGGGACCCCCTCAAACGACCCCTTGTGTTTGGAGGCCTCAAGATTTTATGAGAATTTGTTTGGATTTCTTGCCGCGAACTGGCTGGGCAACGGCCGTTGCTCAGGATCTCCATGCTTCTACTGCGAGCCCATCGGCGGATACTGGAGCTTTGGCCGGAACGAAATGGCTTTGGCCCCGTGGCTGCGGTCCTGAACGCGTGGGCGTGTTGAAGGGTCTACACGAGCGGGCACTATAGTGGATACTAGTGAATACTAGTGGGCATTCGACATTTTGGATGTCAGTTATGTTGTTTTAGACTTGAATATGATCCAGCGTTCATGGACATGGCATGAAATAGCCTAGACAATCAGATGCCACTCTATTAGTAGGCAACCAGTGAGTCCAAAAACCAGACACATTAGCCATGAGCCATGGCGCTCTACTCTGGACAGACGTCCGCACAGATCCAATCAAGCCTTGGGCGAAACCATGAAAACCCCTGAAAACTGGCATCCCCATGGTAGAGAGCATGGTGTTTATTGGTACGGTGTTTTCATTGTTTCGACGTCTCCCATGCATCATCCCCGTCATTCTTCCGCCGAAACGAACGAGCGAAGGAGGGACCGCCCCAGGTGCTCCTGGCGCTCCTCTTAGTGGCGCTTTGGCGCTCCGGACAACGCCGCCGTGTCCGCGACGGACGCAGCGCTGGTTCTTTGCGACTGCCGCGGCGCAGCGCGGAGAACCAGCAAAAGGCCATCCGAGACTTGACCAGAGCACGGGGGGCTGTCTTTCTCTTCACCAGAAAACGCCATTAGGTTGGGAGCCAGCGACTTTGCGGCGCATGGTGCTGCACTTACAACTTTGGGTTCCAAGTTGCGACCGGATGGATTCTTTGTAACATGCATGCCTGGATGGCTTTCACGACTCCATCACTTCAATCATGTGAGATCATGCCCATGCCCGTGTTTTGCATGGGCATGGATCACTTAGACTCATTTGCTAAACGTTGTGGCATGGAAGCATCTCAGATGCTGCCCCAATCATCCACATCGCATGGTCAATGGAGTTGATCAAGTCAAGCCTTAGTTCTTCTAATCTTCAAGACCATTTGTTCACCTTTGGTATTAGGATGTGTTTTGGCTCTCGGTGCTTTTGGGCCCAAAGAAAATGCTTGGCTCCCGTCATTAGTGATTAGCACGTGATGAGCTGCCTCTTTATCTTCAACAGAGGTGACCAGGCTTTCTTCTGTGCTCACGTTGCTCCAAGGAGTGTCACAAGAGCCTTTGCGCTTCTACGAGCAGGTCCTACAGCTCCTGGCTGAAATAGTCCAACCTTCCCTGCTCCCCCGCGTTGGTAGAGAGGAGCACTTCTGGGAAGTTCTTAACAGTCAAGAGTACTAGGCAATTGCTGCCTAAACGGCCTGTTTTGGAGGGGTTTACTTTGGAAGTTCTAGAACTACTCATTTGGAGGGCACTTGATTGTTTGTGGGCTGCAGCCGCATTCGCCTGGTAAAATCATCGACCAGAACCGGCAACCTTGGGACCTTTAGGCCCCCTCATCATTTGCACCTGGTAACACAGTATCACCTGGTCTTGGATAGATAGGTGACTCTATACTACTTATATAATTCCTGTTAATTCTGTTGTCATTTCTGTTGTCATGCTTCACCTTTGGAGTAGCTGCATGCCCTCCGAATCCCTCCAAACTTGCAGTTGACCCGAGGGTCATTGAAGATGTGATCGACACGCTCATCGACGGGGCCTGCGAGCTGGTGTCTTGGCCATTTCGCCCAGGACTGGACGATGTCTCGGTGAAGAGTCGGAGTCGGAAGCTGAAGAGTTGGATAAAAACGAATGGATGGGACCTGACGTCAGTCTCAGCCCTGCTTGGGAACCAGAATTTGAGGCTGAATATGTCTGAATTGGTGATGAAATGGATAGGGCCAGTGCTAAGAGTTGCTAAGCATGGCTGGGTCATGAGTTCCACCATGACCTACCAAGGTGGTCGAGATACTTGTATGGAATCGCAGCTAGTGGCTCAAAGTATCATCCCAGCCCAGTTCATGACTTGATGAACCGTGATGAAGCTAACAATGTTCATGGTTGAAGGGAGCTCTTGGACGAGCTTTGTATAAAAGGATCCAGGATAGTGTCCAGGATATAGAAGGGGATTGAAGGGATGGGTATAGATCCATGGAAGATCTTCGCCCAGCTCCTTTCCTTGATTCCTTGGCCTAAAAGGTCATGTTTGCACACTTCCTTTTGAAAGGCCACAACCGATGCAACCACAACCAACCAACCGTGATATCCACGAGACGAACCAAAAAACAGATGCAACGACTCGGAACCGGTTCGGAGCACCGGATCTTTTTCACCCCAGTTCCTCGCGTTCCTCGGTCGCGGACTCCGCCGACCGGTGTTCGACGATGGTGGCCAACCGCTTGGACTACTCACGCTTTGACCACCTGGGCGAGTCCAGCGACGAGGAGTCGAGGAGTCCGACGTCGCCGAGTGCGGAGGGGCATGCAGGTGCTCAGCGTGGCCAGGACCACTGCTGTTTAGGGTTGTTTGTGATGGTTTTCGGTGCAGGGTGGAGGGTCCGGGTGGAGGTCACAAGACACAAGAATGCTGATCCAAAAAGTCATGAGAAGCCCATGGGAGAGCGGGTGTGTGGAAGGAAAGGGGCTCTTGGATGCCCTTGACAATATATAGTTGATCTTTAGGGGGGAGACTATCTTGTGAAACTAAGGAGGAGAAGGAGGCCTCAAGAGGCTTCAATACTGTTGGATTGAGGGTGGTTCAGAGTGTCGTTGATCCCTTTCACCACCTAGGGGTCCGGAATGGTCCTATGTTCTTTGATACCATTTCAGGGCGCGTTTCAACACCCACCTTTTTTATCATTTTTTTGGGGTTCAAGCAGTGACCCGGGGCAATCCTTCCAAAAGGTCATAATGATGTAGTGATCGAATATACATGCCCCAATCTTGTGGCCTCAGAACCCATCAGCTGTTCCATGTTAAAAATCCAACCCTGTCCATCCCAAGTTCCAGGACTTGCTTGCAGAATTGCCCACGGATTTGCCGCGGGAGCTCTCCTTGGTTTTGGCCGCGCGGCAAGGGCAGCACCATTTGCTGGAAGCCTTGCTAGACAGCCAGGTGCTGGGATGCTCTAAGACAAGAGAAGCGACAGGTCATGTGGCTCCTTGGTAGAGATACAGCCTTGGTAGCAATGTCCACTCAACTGGACCTTACCACCATGCTCAAGATCATCTTCTTATTGAACTGGACTTAGTTCCGGAAGATACTTCAATGGACTTCGGATTGGACTTCCCGTTTTAACATGTTTATTCCGCGCAAAACGACCGATCCACATCGACCCCCCACGATCAGGTGGACCCCAATGCGACGGACCCACATGGGGGGACGGCGCTTCTGCGCGCGGTGCAGCTGGGGATCACTGCCAGGCCTGACAACGTCGAAAAGCCTTGGTGTTTTAATGTCACTTGGTTCATGGGCTGTTCTCATCTCGGAGCCGAGTTCTCAGAATTTGAAACGGTCTGAATTTGGGTTGCTCAATGTTCGAATCTTTCGTGGTCGTGCAATGTCCAGGCCGAGCATAGAAGCACTGCTGAAGGCGAAGGCTGATGTCTCAAGGGCCTCCAGCTTGGGTGAGACGCCTTTGGGAGAGGCAGCAGGTCAGGGGCCTCCTGAGCTCGTGGCCAGGCTGCTGGAGGCGTGGACAGGTCAGTGGTCTGGGCGACACTATTTGTTCAACGGAACAAACTGTAGATCCGATAACCCAGGAGTCGTGGGACAACATGCAGGGTCATTGTTCAAAACTCCAGTTAAGATCTGTTTAAACATATAAAGATCAATCAATCTGTACCAATTGTTTCTTCTTCATTTTGCTCATTGGATCTAATTAGGGTCCTTTTTCGAAACGCGTCTTATCATGTGAATTATTACCATCAGATTGGGAGAGGCCAACACTCCAAGTGCGGATTGCTTGCGAACATCCTTGGAGAAGGCGGCGCAGCTGGGGAACCGTCAAACCACTCGAATGCTCCTCAGCGGGTTAGCTGCTGCAAAAGCTGTGCCCAGTGCGGAGGCGGGTCAAGTTGGCATCGGGTTCCCACCAGTTTTAGAGGAAGATGAGCGTCTTGCATGGCACAGTGCCAGCGACGAACCAAACAGTGCTTTAACCGGTGTGCCAGTGCGACCGTGAACAGCAGTTGAAAGGACCTATCACCCCGCACTGATACGCTGATACACCGATGCACTGATCCATCCTTGTCCACAGGTGTTCAACAAGTTTCCAAGGCAGTGGCACAACATTGCAAAACCAATGGAATGCCCGGGCTAAAATAAGGGGGTCTTCTTTGATTCCTGTTGAGTCCGAACATGTAGGAACCTTGACAGCCTGGCAGGCGCTGATTGGCTGGGTGAACTGCGGAGATGCCGAGATGGTCTTGGAGCTTCTGAAGGGTCGCACAGATGTGAACCAAGCGAGAGAACATGATGGTGCCACCGCTCTTGGGCATGAAATGGCATGAAGCTGTAGCATGATTCTCAGGCCCCATGAATGAACTTGTCCAAACCCCATCGGAATATAGCAGGATGTGCATCCAAACTCACCAGCAATTTCAGATCTTACCTATCCCTTACCTTCCTTTGTGTCTAAGGCTGTGCTTGTTGCCGCCAGCTCACCAAATCCTCAGCTCATCCAGCTGCTTTGTGCGCAGCTTGCGGACGTCAACTGCTCGGACCGCAGCCACCGCACGCCGCTGGCCGCGGCCAGCGCCGTGGGTGGTGACGCAGCGGTGGGGGCGCTGCTGGCGGCGAACGCGCAGGTGGACGGAGCTCCACTGGTGGCTGCTGCCTTGGCAGGGCGCAACTGAGATTGGTTGGAAGAGCCATGGGTGGATGGGTGGTAAAGGACACAAACCAAAAAACAGGTGCTGGAAGGTCTTTGAGCGCTCTAGGGCATGAGGTGGGTACATGAGGAAACAATTCTACGGATGTTTTGGCTTGTGAAACACCAAATTTTGCAGTTTCTGGAGCAGTCGGGATGCTGAAGGCACTTCAACTGCCAAGTTGCTACTGGAGAGTGGCGCTGCGTCAAACGCGAGGGATCTAGCTGGACGGACGCCCTTAGCATCTGCAGCAGCCAGTGGCAGCCTGCAACTTTGCCAGGCCTGCAACTGTTCTTTTGTTGAGCTGTCATTTGCACAGGCGGCTGGTGGAAGTGCTTTGTCGACAAACCTCACCTCCCTCGGTCGTCGACTCGACCCAGACGACCCGCCAGGCACTTTTGCTTGCACGAGCGGATCCCCAGATCCGGAGCGGTGCGGGGAAAGGACTGTTTGTCCGCGACAGCAAAGCTTGGTCTCTCTTGTTTGCACATGAGACATCATGAGACCCCTTGGGCTACGCGAAAGCTTTGGGAAGGCAAGTAGGCTTTTTCCTTGCTCAGCACGGTATATCACACACGTTACTCGGCACACGAGGCTTGTGGAACAGCTCTTGAGCAGAGCTTGCCTCACCTCGACCCCTTAGATTCACGTGCCACCACCATTCACTACCATGACGGTTCCTTATACCTAATTCATCCCATATCATACAGCCCACAAAAGATGGTTGTTTTTTAAATGTTTTTTTGGGGGGTTAGGGAAGTTTCAGGCGAAGCTCAATGTTGTTGTCGATTCTTGTTACTGTAACGCGCGTTGTTCTTTGTCGCTTCTGCGTCATTTTGGCGTCAGGTCTTCGATCGGGAACTTGCTGCCATTTGTTGTTTGCGTCAGGGAACTTCCGGCGAGACGGTGAAAAACAACAAACAACCATGTCTTTGTTCTTCCCCCAGGGTCCAGGCATACAATGAGCCTCAAAGCTTGAGAGGAGCTCCGCCCTTAGCCATCGCGGTAGCTGCTCAACACATCAGCCTCGTGGAGGAGCTACTGCGGGCGCGGGCGGATGTAGATGCCCTCAGCGAGCGCGGGCAAACGCCGCTGATGTTGGCGGCAGCCGCAGGGCACCAGGAGATGTGGCGTAGCTGCAGTGTGCGTAGAGGTGTAGAGACAGTTAAGGTGGCAGCTGGTGGGTGATTGGCGGTTTAGAAGAGTGGACGGGCGCTTGAGCAGATGCACCAGAGACACCCTTTGCCTTTCTGTTGATCACTATTGCCTGAATCATCATTGAATTATCATTCTGTTGCCTCACTTACCTGACTCAGGTCGGAGAAGCTCCTGGAAGCTGGCGCTCAGGTGAACGACTGTTCAGAAGATGGGAAGACAGCGCTGATTTTGGCAGCTGGGCCTCTTGGTTTGACGTTTGATGAAGCAGTCCACAGCATTGCTGGAGAATCACGGAGAATCATGGAACAACATCTCAGTTCCGGAGCAGGTCGCCCATCACACTGCACGAACGTCACAAGAAGCTACGAACGGGGCGCTCCTGGCAGTACTACTAGTAGCAAGAAGCTAACGTAACAAGGCATCGCTACTAGCAACAAGAAGCTAGCATTGTGTGGACAGATTCCTTGCTCCGGGCTTTCAGATCTATCATGGCTTTGTATTGCCAGATTTATTCAATGTCGGAACAGATGATGGCTTCGTTGGGCTTGTCACGGCCCGTTCAGACCCAAATGCACATCAGCAACTCCCTGAAAACCGAGGATTGGTTCTCCCATCTGTCAGCTCTTGCTCTCCCACCGTGCCGACCTGCAACACCGTTCCGCCACCGGCATCTCCGCGCTCCACACGGCCGCCGCCAACGGCCACGAGGAGCTCTGCCGGGCGCTGCTGGCGCAGCGCGCCGACGCCGGCACCGCCGCGTGCGGCCGCACGGCGGCGCAGGTGGCTCGGAGGGCGGGCTACGGAGCCCTGGCGGAGCTGCTGGAGACGGGGAGCAGCTGAGAAGAGAGAAAAAGGTCCGTGGAGCAGTGGAGCTGTGTTCTCATGCATTGGTTGGAGGTTCTTACATGCAGCCGATATTGTCTACTCAGTCTACTCTCTTCACTGGTCCAATGAAAAGTCTGTGTGTTAGCCAACTTGACAGGGATTCAGGTGGATCCCCATGCAATCATCATAGAAACGATATCAAACAGGATGATGACATGGGAGAGCCCCTGCACAGACGTGGTGTTGGAGTTGTCGCTTGAGTCGCTTGAGGAAGTGTTTAAACTTCATGCCAAAAACTTCGACACTCAATTCAGCCCACATAACCATCCATAACCGTACTGTAATTAGATTAGATTATTAGATAAGCCATGATGATCTAGAGAATCTCCAAATTTGAACAATTACTGCATGCAGTTTGGCAAAAATCCGGCCGCAGGAGCTTCTCAGCGGAGATCCTGAGGGCGTTGAATCTTCTTTGGGCTCGTTGAGCGGATTGACATGTCACTTAGAACAGCTGCGGGCAATGTCTTTGTCTTGGTTTAACAGCTTGGGGAGTTGCACTGGAGCTAATAGCGATGGCCTTCAACCTAAGAGCGATGGCCTCCCTAACTTAGCTTTGACCGGTGCTTGTGTGGAACCCCGGAGGGAAAATGCATGGCAGGAGTGGGAGGTTGCTTTTTCATCACTGGCTTGTCGGCCCGTTGGCCTGTCATTCCACTTGAGCCAATTCGGGTGTTTCAGTGTTTCAGCAATTTCTGAAGGTCCACGGACAAGAGAAGGCTCGTTCGCTTGAAGATGAGGGACATGAAGTTGCACAACACATTGCCAAAGACGGTGCTTTCTCTGGCCTATCAATTCCTTGTGCATGTCCGAACGGGACCGCTTTCGAGTCCACGGGGAGGGGGGCATGTTCTTATTGCGCGCACAATCCAGCTGACATTTCACCACAAAATGCATTCTGGCTGACTCACTGACATTACAAAACCAGTCTTATGTGACAGCTGGATATTGTGCCCACGCGGCCAAGCTTGTCGTTGTTAACATGTGAATAACTTTGTTCAAGGGACTGCATGGAGTCTTTTTCGTCAGATGGCCGGTGCTTTGCGATTGATTCGTAGAACCCAGCTGAAAAGCCTATCCCTGCTCCATCATGCTCCAGTGAAATGGAGCATCTTGTGGATGTCAGTGGTCCACACTGTGGTGGCTTGGTACAGTTCGCCGGCCAAGCTGGGCCGTTGTTGTGGGAACCGCCACCTTGTGACCTGCAAAGTGTGTGGCTTTGCGGGCGCAGATGCAGTAGATCCTGACAGCAGGTGCAGAATGTCAAAGCACCACCGTGAGTCCCGTCCAGTGTTGAATCAGCTTTCAGGCTTCAAGAGCCAACGCACTACCAAAGAAATTATTATTCAATTCAAGGTGTCAAGGGCCAACGGCGGTTGAGAGAAGGGCTCTCACCAACTTGCAGAGGATGGCTTGTATGCCAAAGTACAGACATTTATTATAAAGAAATGTGTTTATTCTCTAGCCAGTTCGGTGACCAGATGCCCACATTGTGGCCCCAAAAGGGCCCAAAAGTCTTATCGACTCATAGTCTTGCAGCTTCCAAGACCATTCTGCTCTTGCGACCTTTTAAGCCTTGCACCCCCCTGGCGGAACCTCCCTGGGACCGAGGCGCCAGCTGCGCCAGGCAACAACCGCGTTCAACGGGTAGAAGCTCCCGCGGAAAAAGGGCCGCCCAGAAGGCATGAGAGTGCGAATGCGTTACAGTGGGTTCAGAGTAGATGGCACAATCCCCCAGGTCGGTGGTTGATATGGACACCTATCTCAAGGACATCTCGGGGTTTGCGCCATCTACTCTGAAACCACTGTAAACCCCGATTGCATGACACGATTAGACGACTGATGAGGACTATTTCCAGAGCTTCCCACGGCCAGCTGAGCAACCAGCTGGAGTGGGTCGCAGGCGCGAAAACGGGGGCCTGGGGTGATGATCAAGTCGAGCCGTGGCCATGACACACCAAGATGGAGGTGATTCTCAATATCCATCCGATGAGATTCAGGGATATATATTCAGCGAATTGCCAGGACGATCATTTCGGGACTTTTTATGAATCCGTTTTTTTGTGACATGTTCGGAAAGTACATGTTTGGGGGGCTCTTTGGTGACAGAAGATTTTGGATGAAGAGAGGAGATTCTCAGGCTGAAACCTTAGGCCCTTGGGCCGCTGGCTGGTGTGGAAGAAAACAGAGGCTGGCCTGGCCCAGATATTCTTTATGCTTGAGTAAGTGCCCATAGGCTATAGGGCAATTGAGTGTGCCAGCAACCAGCGCATTGGTTTGTCTTTTGCCCTGTGCCTTGGCAGTTGAGTCCAGGCATCCTGACCCTTTTTTGGATCAAGGACATGCTGCACATGCTTCAGTACAGAAGTATCCTTTGGTGTTTGAGTAAGGGATGCAGACTAGGGCCAGGGGAGAACTCCGATCTTATTGATGAACAAGGATGAACAATGGGCCGCAGTGGCATTTGGTCAAATGGACAGACCTCGCTGTCGCAGTCGGCTGTCGCCCATGCAGATGCGCTTGGCACATCAGCAAGCCCATGGAGAAAAAAACACACATGTCCCAGATATAGACAGATCAGATTACAAAGTAGAAGACTCAGAAGACCTATGAAGACGTGATGGTGTCATTTCCGGATGCTTAGTCCGAGTTCTCAGTGGGCATGGGGGATGCAGAAGGAGATTTCGTTTTTCAAGCTCGTTCCTGCCTCCTTGGTTCTTGCTTGAAATCTTGAAAGGAGATCATGTGGTTTGAAATTCTACCATGTTTAGTGCGTGCTGCAGGCCATGAGTTTGACGAGTTTGGATCACATTTTGGAGTCTCACTCCACATGGACATCCAAATATAAATCCAAACTCCATTAAACAAGATATATAATCACTCTGCGGATGATGGGTTGCTTGGGGAACCACCAGAACTACCCAGTGTGATGTTTCAGCCCTGGAGGCCGAGAGCGAGTAGCTTTGCACGAACGGTTCGGGCCCCTCCCCACGAGGCCATGACAGGAGTCGCGAGCCAGCGAGCACTGCTGGTGCTCCTGGTGTGGCGTGGTGCCTGGGGTGGAGCTGTATCCAAGCCAAAGGAGCGTTTGGATGCCGTGTCTTGGATGGGTCGGTGGAGGGAAGTGGCAAGGGGCTGCTGAAGCACTGCTTGCATTCAATGATGTTGAGTGAAGAATGACTTGACAAGGAGTTTGAGAGTTGGTGATTGGAGCAGATTTAGTTTCAACTGAGTCCCACAGCGTTGTGTGGCCTTTATGACTTTGGAGCTGAGTTTGCTTGCAGTGGTGTGTCTATTTGGAAGCTGTGGAAATGGGTTAACGGTTATCCATGCTCACAAGAACATGGAGTACACCATTGGATTCCATTGCCTCACCTCTTGAGGTTTTACAAGAACTTATCTTAGAAAGCAACGCGCTGGTCGAGAGCGACAGCAACGGAGGCAGGCTTGGGAAAAAAGAGAATCCATGGTTTCAGCTGGGATGCTTATTCTAAAGCAGGAGGCCATACGGAGAGAAGGCCACCCAAAAGATTCCAAAAGCATTGCAAAACACAAGAAAAGAAGCATAAAATACAGAAACACAAGACGTATTTATTCATTTAATTTTGTTTTTTTGATTACTCCCCCAACGTCTGCGACGTTCAGATCCGCCTCCCCGCCGATAGAAACACGATGTGCGGTGCTCTGTGCGCTCAGGTGCATTGGGCAGCCTGGTGGATCGCCTTGAGGCAGCGTCTTCCGGTGGAGTGGAGCAGAGGTTTCGAAGAGACATATCCGAGCCAAACAGTTGTTGTTGGAGGGCCATTTAATTTTGGATATTTTTTTGTTTCCTTTTTTGCATGTTTTTTGTTTTTCGTGGCTTCTGGCTTCTGTGGCTTCTGGCTTTTGTGGCTTTTGGCTTTCGTGGCTTTCGTGGCTTCTGTGGCTTTTG